TGTGTATACATACACATATACGTGTGTGTGTGTGTGTGTGTGTATATGTATATATGTATGTATACGTATACTTATACGTACATGTACAAGTATATATATAAATACGTATATACATATAGACTGCTAGTACAGGTTTACGATCCATCACTCATATACAAGTACTCTCCAGCCCTGTAGCACTGGGATGGAATAGAACGCAAGTGCGAACAGCATCCGTCATGTGAGCTGTGGTACTCTTCCTATCCACTCACATGGACCGACCCTTTCCACACGCACAGAGAAATTGGGAATACTGGCGAGTACTTTACACACCTTAAACCATGCACCCACTCTCTTCTCACAGGCCCACTGCCGTAGTGGACTATATTGAGAGCAAGTACGAGGAGTATCTGTCATGCGAGTTGAAGGCATGTCGTATTGGCGATGGATGGCCTGATCGCCGTGTGCATATGTGCCTGTACCTCATTTCTCCCACACCAGACGGGTAAGTTGTACATTTACATGTATACATATGTTTGTGTGTGTGTGTGTGTGTATACATATATATATATATATATGTGTGTGTGTGTGTGTTATCATATATATATACATATATATTATATATTATATATATATAAATTTATTATATATATATAAATATATTATATATATATAAATATATTATATATATATAAATATATTATATATATATGCACATATAAACATATATATGTGAGTGTTTGCGTATATCTGCTATTAACTTGACATGCTGAATTATTAGTACAATGTGTCTATATATATTTATATATTTATATATTTATATTTATATATATATATTTGCATACATTATATATATATGTAGCACTGCAGGTGGGTGTTAAAAAATCTACAAACACGAAAAGAGTCTAATCTATGATATCCGTAGTGTGTTGCATGCATGATAGGTAAATATGATTGTGTATTAATATTCGTACATACTTCCACGCATGGATGGCTATCTCTTGAGCGCTAGTCTGTGCTTTCATAGAGCACCGTTGTATGTACTTAACATCTCGCCAGCAACTGAGGGTGTATACACTTGTGATTTTATCTTGTAATTTAAACATGGATTTTGACATGTGATTTTATCATGTGATTTTATCATGTGATCTTAACATATGATTTTATCATGTGATTTTATCATGTGCTTTAACATATGATTTTAGCAAGTGATTTAATATGTGATTTGAACATGCGATTTCATCATCTGGAGCTGTGGGGAATACGTTTAATACGCTCAAAAGAAAGTAGTAGGGTGCACCATCAACACACTAACACCCTAAGCTAAACACGCAGAGCACTATCTGTGTACCTATTGTGCACGAAAGTTTACTTACTATCCTCAATGTCATGTCTCATACATCACTACAACGCAATGCTACTAGCAGTGCGCATTGATCACTCACGATGAAGATGCCGTCTCACATACCTTTGTTCGTGTCTCTCCTAAAACCCTAAAACCCTTGTGGTACAGACTAGGTGCCCTGGATCTGCTTATGCTCAAACGATTGTCACAGATTGTCAACGTCATTCCACTCATCGCCAAAGCGGACACCATGTTGCCAGATGAGATAGCTCAGTACAAACAACTGGTGTGTGAGACTGTATACTATAGGCTCAGTACAAACAACTGGTGTGTGAGACTGTATACTATAAGCTCAGTACAAACAACTGGTGTGTGAGACTGTATACTATAAGCCTAGTACAAACAACTGGTGTGTGAGACTGTATACTATACGCTCAGTACAAACAACTAGTGTGTGAGACTGTAGACTATACGCTCAGTACAAACAACTGGTGCGTGAGACTGTATACTTTAAGCTTAGTACAAACAACTGGTGTGTGAGACTGTATACTATAAACTCAGTACAAACAACTGGTGTGTGAGAGGTATTTATATGTGAGACTGTATACTATACGCTCAGTACAAACAACTGGTGTGTGAGAGGGGCTTATTTGTGAAGCTGTATACTATACGCTTAGTACAAACAACTGGTGTGTTAGAGGGGTTTGTGAGTGACACTTGCAAAGGAAGGTTAGACGTTCACTACAACTATGCATGCACAAGCTGTTGCATCAAGCACGCGGTTCTGTCAATTGCGCGCACATATGATTGTAAACAGATAGTATAGCCTCAAACCGCACAGGTCCTATTACAATACTCAAGCGCACCACTACTTTCCCTGTCAGTTGACTGGCTGTGGTTCATTCTTGTTACTTTCCTTGTTAATTAATTGACCATGGTTTGTTCTCGCTACTTTCCTTGCTAATTAATTAATTCACCATATTTTTTTCTTGTTACTTTCCTTGTTAATTAATTGACCTTGGTTTATTCTCGTTACTTTCCTTGTTAATTAATTCACCATGGTTCTTGTTACTTTCCCTGTCAGTTAACTCACTGTGGTTTAATCGCTTTCTCAGATATCAGCCCAATTCAAACAGCACTGCATCAAAGTATACGGCTTCGAGGTCAACGGTGGTGCCTACTTGATCAACACACACATTGTAAGAACGGAGATGAGTAATGAATAACCGTTTACGTACGTTCGTTTGTGGGTGTAAACGTATGTAATTCACGCCCACATTGTATGTGCGACGATGAGTAGCAGATTGGCCATTTGTTTATGCTCGTTTATTGATACAAAAGTATTTGAATTGCATATATATTGTATGTACGAAGTTGTTGATTCTCGGTTGTGGATGTAAACGCATCTGTACACATTTGTACATGTATGTGAAGCTGTTTTACCTATCAAACGCCAAATGAATTTTTTGTATAATCTACTGACGTGAGACTAGCACCAAAAGAATACGCAATGGGGGGTCTTTTAGCACAGGTAGAAGGGGCTTTAGAACGGCCTTTGCAATCGATATAAGTGTGCATGCATGTAGTGCTATTTGTAGTTCTGGGTAAACAAGCTTACGATAGTGTACTAGCGTAGCCATCCAAGCCTGGCTACCGATCTGTGTCTACCTACGTATTCCTACCGCAACATATGGCCTCTGAGATAAACACAAAGCCTCTGATATAAACACATAGCGTCTGATATAAACACATACCATCTGATATAAACATATACCCTCTGATATAAACACTTACCCTCTGATATAAACACATACCCTCTGATATGAACACATATCCTCTGATATAAACACATACCCTCTGATATAAACACATACCCTCTGATATAAACACATACCCTCTGATATAAGTACATACCCTCTGATATAAACTCATAGCCTCTGATATAAACACATACCCTCTGATATAAACACATACCCTCTGATATAAACCGCTTGTATGCATAAGCATGTGCATCTGTTATATAGTTTAATGTGACCACGTTCTGGCTGGTTGTAGTGCGTTTGCTATGAAGTACATGCAATATAACAAAGTTATATTTAACAACAGATACAAGCCTACAGATGGCGAACCGAATTTTGCGAACCACAAGTGCACAGAGTCAGTGTACTTGTGAAATTTGAGTTGATCATATCGATCCTGAACCTAATCTGTCGCACTCTGTTGATTTCGGGTCTGTTTCTCATTTTTAGCCTGAAGATGCCAAAAAGATTGCCGAAGATGTGCAAGACAGAGACATACTGCAGGTGTGTCTTTTGTGTGTGAAAGTCAAACGCTCACATCAAAATCACATAATTGAGCCTCGGCAGCAGCTACACGAACACGCACACAAGTATACCTATACCTATATATATATATATATATATCTATCTATCTATCTATCTATCTATCTATATACCAATATACCAATATACGAACACGTATACAAGTGAGCCTAATAATGCGTCGAGATATGAACACACATATGAGTGTGCATAGACCTACATTAGTTTTCCAAGGCAGTGTGCGAGTGGTGAGACAAGGGGTGCCCTGCGACGGCGGGTGCGCGTGTACACACATCCGTTGAGTACATTAGAGTTTGCTGTGACTCAGTACGGAGACCGTAGGGATGCAGTATAATGTTTTTCGGGTTTAGGGTTGGGATAGCTTGTTCTCTGTGCCATTTCATACTACATAACAGTATGGCCTGTAGCAGTATAGAGGCAACACTCAAGGTAAGCACCTGCAGCAAGCTCACTCCCCACAGCACGTGTGCTTCTTTGTCCTGTGTACTACCAATTACAAAAGTATCTCATCCTTGAGTTTTCTTATGTAGCTTGTGTTTCTGGTTATATATGTACATATATGCGAGTGTGTGCATAGCATATAGCAGCATGGGAGCAAACACTCAACGTGAGCGCCTGCAATAAGCTCACTCCCCAAAGTATATATATATATATATATATATATGTATGTATGTATGTATGTTGTATATATG